GAGAGTGTGTGTGTGTGAGAGAGAGTGTTTGTGTGTGTGTGTGTGTGTGTGTGTGTGTGTGTGTGTGTGTGTGTGTGTGTGTGTGTGAGTGTCTGTCTGTGTCTGTCTGTGAGTGTCTGTGTCTGTGTGTGTGTGTGTGTGTGTGTGTGTGAGTGTGTGACAGTGTGAGAGAGAGAGTGTGAGAGTGAGTGCCTGTGTGTGTGTGTATGTGTGTGTGTGTCTGTGTGTGGCAGAAGTATCAGAAATATCTTTGGAGTGGGAGAGGTTGAGAGCCGCTGTCTGGTCCTGTGTGTGAGTCCGTCTAATCTCAGGTGTCTCCTCTGCAGGGTCTGTAGTTGTGGACGGTCACAAGCTGCATGAGGACGACCTGCGTCTGATGTACAGCTTCGATCGGACCTCAGGAACGCCGTCGCAGTATGAGGCGCACTCAGACGCTCAGGTGCAGGGAGAGGTTGAGAGCCGCTGTCTGGTCCTGTGTGTGAGTCCGTCTAATCTCAGGTGTCTCCTCTGCAGGGTCTGTAGACCGACTGTGGACGGTCACAAGCTGCATGAGGACGACCTGCGTCTGATGTACAGCTTCGATCGGACCTCAGGAACGCCGTCGCAGTATGAGGCGCACTCAGACGCTCAGGTGCGCGCTCTGCTCTCTCTCAGTCTCAGTCCACGTGCTCCTGCAGTGACCTGATCTGAACGGCCGTGTCTGTTCCCACAGGTGCTGGTTCTTCTCGACGTCACCACGGATCAGTCCACGGTGGATGAAGGTGTGGCCCGCGAGGTCATCAACCGCATCCAGAAACTACACAAGAAGGTGATGATCTGCAGCAAACCTGCCGAGGTCCAGTACAGCTCAAGAGTTCATGATGCTTTCATGCTTCTGAAAGAGTCTCTTCTGCTCAGCAAGGCTGCGTCTAAATGATCTACAATACAGTCAAATATTAGTGAAATATTTCAATTTAAAATAGCTGTTTTCTATGTGAATATGTGTTAAACTGTAATGTATTTCTGTGATGCGCAGCTGTATTTTCAGCATCATTCCTCCAGTCTTCAGTGTCACATGATCTTCAGAAATCAGTATAATATGCTGATCTGCTGCTCGAGAAACATTTCTGATTATTATCAATGTTGAACCCAGTTTTTTTTTCTGGAAACTGTGATACATTTTATTTTTCAGATTTCTTTGATGAATAGAAAGTTCAAAAGAACAGCAATTATTTGAAATATAAATCTTTGTTACTGTCACTTTTGATCAGTTTAATGCATCCTTGATTAATCAAAGTATGATTATACTGATTTCTGAAGATCATGTGACGCTGAAGACTGGAGGAATGATGCTGAAAATACAGCTGCACATCACAGAAATACATTATATTTGACAATATATTAATTTAGAAAATAAAGCAATAAGCCCCAAGAAGCCGTGGTTTACAGTGAATTTATAACAGCTGAGGGGTGTTGTAAAACCCCCTTAGCTTTTATAAACTGTTTTTATAAAACAGTTATACCATATACGTAGTAAGGTTTCACAAAATAAAACGGAGCAAATAAAGTGTAATGATATTAATAAACACAGTATTCTTCCTCCAAACAATGTAGCGCCTCAGAAACAGTTGTGGTTGCTACAAAGTGGTTGCCGAGCAACACACAGAAGTAAACAAAGCTGTGTGTTACTTTGTAGCGTCATTTACAACAGCTTCGAACACGGCTCAGCCAATCAGAGTCAAGCACCGGAACTATCTGTTTTATAATATTATTTTAAATACCGTATTGACCCGAATATAAGATGATGTTTTTTTTTTGGAAATGCATCTGAATAAACGCGGTCGTCTTATATTCAGGGTCTAGACTTTGACATGTCAATAATACACACACAACAATAGGTGGAACCAAATACTCATAAAACCAGTGTGTCGTGAAATACGTAATGTAATGCGTGTTGTAAAGATCGCCTGATGGGACCAAACTCTCTTTGTGATTTTAAAACGTAAGACAGTACCCAGATTTGAAGACTACAGTAAGATTTAACTTCTACTGTAATAAGATGTTGGTGGGCTACTATTAGATGGATAGCCTAAATCTCCTAATTCAGACGGGCTACCTGTTTTGTTTAAAGTGTATATTTTTTAAATGTGATTGTTGACAGAGACGCGCTAAAGCAGAGCATTCTGTTCTTCTCTTTATTTTTCAAAGGCATGACATTTTGTAGTTATTTTGAACGTAATGTTACACAATTAAAAATGTACATTTTACCATACGACTATAAATGACCGTATTGACCCGAATATAAGACGATGTTTTTCTGTTGGAAATACATCTGAAAAAACGCGGGTCGTCTTATATTCAGGGTCTAGACTTTGACATGTCAATAATACACACACAACAATAGGTGGCACCAAATACTCATAAAACCAGTGTGTCGTGAAATACGTAATGGAATGCGTGTTGTAAAGATCGCGAGTAAAAACTAAAGAGAAAGAAAAGCTTACAGCTGCATGAGTCATGACTGTCACGTTAGCCTGATGGACCAAACTCTCTTTGTGATTTTAAAACGTAAGACCGTACCCAGATTTGAAGACTACAGTAAGATTTAACTTCTACTGTTAATAAGATTTTGGTGGGCTACTATTAGATGGATAGCCTAAATCTCCTAATTCAGATGGGCTACCTGTTTTGTTTAAAGTGTATATTTTTTAAATGTGATTGTTGGTACATTTGACCAGTTTTTACCATACTTTCAAAACAAATATTAAAATAGGAAAAATATGCAATATGAAAATAATTGAAGACAAAATGTGTTTTACTGAGAAAAAACAAGATTTGGTTTTTAAAAAGCCTTTTTCCAAAAGGTACATCTGGGAAAGGGAGGTCGTCTTATATTCGGGCCGATACGGTAGTGCAAATATTTCACAGTATTATTGGGGTGAAGGTTGAAGTCTTATTTTGGCCGTGTGTTTTGTGAATCAGAGCAGCTGGCGTCTCCGGCTCTCTTGTGTTTTTCCCAGGCTTATGACAGATGCTATTTGGAGGATCTTTCCACCAGAGTTCTGCTTGCGTTGAGCGACTGTTCGGTCTTACAGCGCTGCCTTAATAACGCTTAATTACCCAGAGAGCACTTGAAGACAAGCAGCACTTTGAAGTTGTGTGGAAATCAGTAAAGTAAGACGGATTTCCTTCCCTCGCCTTTCTTCGCCCTCTTTTTTCTTAATAAACAAGCGTTTTTCCACTGGGCTCTATATGTGAGGGGGAAGGGCACGGGACGCCTGCCAGGCCCGAATTCCTCTCTTATTGAAAGTCTGAGATTTTCCACGGGAGGGAATTAATTTCTCAGCGTTTGCTGAGATGAGAGGTGTAACCGGGGGCAGGAGTGAGCCAGGCTCATTGTGTGGGTTTTTCCTCCTCGCTGTTCAAAGCTACCGCATGTCCAAGCCCATGTTTTCCACAACAAGCCGTTTGTTTGGTCACAGCATCTGCTGCCGTTTCCCAGTACACATCTGTTTTTTACTCTTTAAATTGAAGGCAGATTAAATGAGCCGAGAGACTCGAGGATAATACATGATCAGTCAAAGGATCTTTCAGAAAAGTGGCGATCATCAAGTGTTCAAACTAAATAGTATTTGAGCAATTATTCTTTTGCAACCCTGTTACCATAATTTTCTAGTATCGTTAATTTTCGGCAACATTTCGTGTTCTAGCAGCATCATTAAAATCATCAAATGCTTGGGTAAGAAATTAACACTTTTATTCATCAAGGATGCATTAAACCGGTCAAAATGTGTCAAAACATTGATAATAATCAGAAATGTTTCTTGAGCAGCAGATCAGCATATTATACTGATTTCTGAAGATCATGTGACACTGAAGACTGCAGTAATGATGCTGAAAATACAGCTGAGCATCACAGAAATACAGCACAGTTTAACACATATTCACATAGAAAACAGAAATCAAATAGTAGAGACGGGGTCAAATCACGCAGATCACTTGTATGTTATAGTCTGTTAGATTTATCGTTTAGGTCTCACATTTGAAAGCATGAGATTTGTGCCTGTAATGTTTAATAATGTTGAGTGTGTTTGGTTGGGTGACTGTATTCCTGCATATGTGTCTTTAATGTGTCAAACGTGTGGTCTCAGGGTCATCTGGTCCCGTCGGATGAGATCACGGTGTATTACAGCAGTCAGCCAGCGGGGGAATACCTGGATTTAGTCATCTGTGCCACGACTAAAGCTCCTCTCAAGCCCTATCCAGTGGCCCAGAATGCCAGTGTGATCGTCCAGGAGAAAACGCAGGTGACACTGATGCATGCTGAACTCAGGGATCGGTCTGAGTGTGTGTAGAGATGACTCTCAGGCTGATACTGCGCCGTTTGTTCTGCTGATGCTCTGATAGCAACATCTTTATGATATTAAATCAATACCAGGTTGGTAGAGTTGTGCATATGCACGTTACGTAATTGCATGATTAGATAAACGAACCAGTTAATTTGAAACAAACTGTCCGAAAGAACCAGTTCACGGAAAAGAATCAGACATCTGTTTACATGAGGATTACAGGTGGTAATGTTGTAAATAATGTTCAGTTTCTTGCACAGACCGATCGTTTCGCTTCAGAAGACCTCAATATATCGTCAGGAGCCATGGGTTGTTTAATTTTATGGATCACCATGGTTTCAGCTAAAAATCGTCTTTACTGTTCTACTGAAATAAAACCTACATCTTGGATGGCTTGAGGATGAGTAAATTAACAGCACATTTTCAGTTTTGGCTGAACAATCCCTTCAAGAATAGAGCACTCTAGAACTGTTTCAGAAGGTTATGTTGCAGACCGGATCAGGGTTGTAATTGTTTGTGTTGTGTGATAGCTGAAGGGCTCGGATCTGGACTTCACTATCGTGCGAGGGGCCGTCGTCTCCAGAGCCCCTCTGACCACCGCAGTCTGCGCTTACGTCAACCTCAGAGTCACGCTCAAGGACAAACGGCAAGGTACGTCACCCGCTTCAGTTACGACACAATTACAAATGACCTTTTATGAGCCAGTGCATTTGTAAGCATCGACGTACCTTTGTTTCTAGTTCAGCGATGAGAGGAGTGTGTGTCTGCTCCGCTGTGTGCGCTGTAAACACACGTTGGCGCTGTTCTAATTCAGAGCCGTGTTTGCTCTTCTCCATTCATGCTTCTCTCAGAGGGTGTCGTTCTGCTGGAGAACCCAAAGGGTGATGACACACTGGACGTGGAGCGGCTCAAGACGGTTTGCTGTAGTGTTTTTGGAATCAACGGTGCAGCTGTGAGCATATTCAATGGCAAGACAGGTGAGATCTGACTCATTAAAGAGATCACAAAAACTACCAGAATGCCTCAGCGGTTATACTAGCGGTCCTGATATGGGGTTTTCAGTGCCTAATATACCGATATATTGCATAGAGATGCAAATTAGGGTCCAAACGTCTGAGACAACATTGAAAAATTGGGATATTTTTCAATTAAAACCCGTGAATTAAAAAAAAGGTGCTGTACTGCTAGACGTTTTTGTAATCAGATAGAAGTAAATGAATGTCATTGATCACGTGACTCTTTGTACAGATGATAAGAAGAAATGATCATTCTCCAGTGTTGAGGAAAGTTACTTTTAAAAGTAATGCATTACAATATTGCGTTACTCCCTAAAAAAAAGTAACTAACTGCATTACTAAGTTATGGAAAGTAATGTATTCACTCACTCACTCACTCACTCACTCACTCACTCACTCACTCACTCACTCACTCACTCACTCACTCACTCACACACACTCATTCACACACACTCATTCACACTCACTCTCTCTCTCACTCACACACACTCGCACTCACACACACTCACACACACTCACTCACTCACTCACTCACTCACACACACTCATTCACACACACTCATTCACACTCACTCTCTCTCTCACTCACACACACTCGCACTCACACACACTCACACACACACACACACTCACTCACACACTCACACACACTCATTCACACACACACACACACTCATTCACACACTCACACACTCACTCACTCACTCACACACACACTTACTCGGATCAACCTAAGCAAGCACAATTCCGGTTTGCTGCTTGAGTTTATATCCAGTAGTGAATGATGCAGAATGATGCTGTGTGTGTGTGTGTGTGTGTGTGTGTGAGATTGTATGTGTGATTGTGTGTGTGTATGTGTGCATGTGCGTGATTGTGATTGAGCGAGTGTGTGTGTGGGATTGTGCGAGTGAGTGTGTGTGATTGTGCGAGTGAGTGTGTGTGATTGTGTGTGTGATTGTGCGAGTGAGTGTGTGTGATTGTGCGAGTGTGTGATTGTGTGTGTGTGATTGTGCAAGTGTGCGTGATTGTGTGTATAAGTGAGTGTGCGAGTGAGTGAGTGAGTGTGTGTGCGTGATTGTGTATGTGCGTGCGTGCGTGCGTGCGTGAGTGAGTTGAGCGAGTGTGTGTGTGTTTGGAGGGTTGATTTAGTGACATGCACTCACACTTAGTGACACCTTCACTCCTGATCTCCAGACCTTCAGCAGTAAATAACCCCTAACCAGTGACAAAGTGATGAAACAGAGCGGCACAGACAGAAGCCTGTTCTAATGTTACGTTATATTTTCATAACATGCACAGCAAATTTGAAAGTGTTAAATTGACACTCACAGTGAGAAAATTAACACTTTTTAACACGCGTTACTGATTGCTGCTCACGATGCACAGTTATACTAAAATACTGGAGACAAAAATGCATTACAATGTCTTATTTTGGCAACACAATTAACGTGCGCCCCCAAGAAGGGGATATGGATGCTGCGTTAGTTTAACGCATTAAACAGTCAAGTTACACAAATCACAGAAATGACCCTGTTATCTACCCCAGATTCTAAAATATAAGAAAACGTACGTTTAAAACGGCTAACTAACAAACAATGCCATTCTTACTTCAATTTGCTTGCT